TTTAGTGTGTGTAAACTGACAGCAAGTGTTATTTCTGGAGGAAATTGTAGTCAAATTATATAATACTTTGATACCTGATGCTCTTAAAAAAAAAAAAAACTGTGAATTTTGGCCTCAGAACAAAAGAGAAATGCAAATGCTTAACCCTTCTACCCATGTGCACCTGCAGATGTATTTCTTAATTTACTTTTTATTTTCCTGAAAATTGCAAAAGATTAAAAGATCCCATAGCATTAGATATATTCTGAGTGTGGACTGAGATTTTTCTCTGCCTAAGGCACGTGCTACTTGCCTTTGGGCAGGATTCAATGACCTAGAGTATCAATCAGCAAAAAGCGGCTGTTATTGTTTACAGTGATTATTACGTCATTACATTGCTACTGCTTAACTTGAGTGTACAAAGTTCTCTTTGCTATCAACATTTGCTAGCCTATAATCTTTACTCAGCCAGTTTCCTGATGCTGTAGGAAGAGAAGGTAGTGTTTTTCCTGCAGAAGAAAGGCAAGGTCCTTGTCATTCAGTTCAGGACAGGTTTTGCTATGTGTAAGGTTCATGAGATGAAAACCATGGCCTTTTTTGAGCTCAGTAGTTCAGCTGGAGTTTCTAGTGCAACTAGAAATTGAAACAGGAGGTAGAAGGGAGGTCAAGGCTCTGAGTTTACTAAGGGAGGCATGTTTTGGCATAATGAAAAAAGTGAAAATAAGACAGTTCCAAGACTATGTAGGAAAGAGACAAGCGTTAAGAAAGTCATTGAGGAACAGGTCATGTCTGTCAAATTGGAAAATGGGCTTGGATGAGGGGAAATGTTAGAGATAGGAGATAATTTATAATCTGGGTGATGTAGAGCATTCTGCATATTGCATTGTTGAAAACAGCTTCCCAAATCCAGAGAGTTCCTGACCTCCCATTTCCTTCCTCTCCCTACTAATTATTTCTTCTCAAATAATTCTGCTTGCTTAGCTGTTTTCTTGGACCTCGGTTTTTTGGTTTGGTTTTGTTGGTTTTTTTCAGAATATTCCAGCATTCCTTAACTTTGTTAGTGTCTTTTTAAAGAAGAAAGCTTTTATGCAGATACCCTACAGTACCTGGACCAGTTGTCCTAAAGCACTGTGAAGACCCAGTTAAAAAAAGAAATAAATCTTGATTTCTTGTTTACAGAATACTCTTTCCTGGAGTAAGAAGGAGATCAAAAGAAATTTTCCACAGGAGGTTAAAATTCCGCTTTCAGTTTACCTGTACAGTCCTGGTGATTACATCTGATTTCACATTGTGCTCTGAAAGGAAAATTTGTCCCTGTAATTCTTGAAGTTGAGGAATGAGTAGAATTAAGACTTTCCCTAATTAGTGCTACCTTTTAAAGGTCTATTTTAAGCTGTTTTCCTTCAGCTTGAACCATTTGATAGCTTCCAAAAATGGAATTTAATCATATCTGATTGCTTGCTGGAATCTGCAATTAACTTAGGTGCAAGGGATTTAACAGTGTTTGCCAGGTGCTGTATAATTTACCAGGAGCTGCTTGTGTCACATGTAAGTGTGATGCTGTTTAAATTTATCTGTCAGAATATTTTAAGCTTATAACTGAATGATTTTTATTACTTCCTTTAATTTCTTTCCCCAGGATGACTCACATATGAAATGCCATATAATTAGATTTTCTATACTACAAAACTATCCCTTGCAATTATGCTACATTGTAGTTGTTATTCTGAAACATTAGAAACTACCTATATCAAAAGTTATTCTGGGGACGCAGTTGGATGCTAAGATGAAGCTAAATTTTCAAGTAATTCGAGACATGACATTGAATAAGAAGCTTAAATGAACTCATTGAGAACGCAGTTCTTATCTCAGAAGAACTCTGAAATCAATTTCATCAAAAATAAGTAGTTGTTGTTTTAGAAATTATCTTATTCTGCTAGGACTAAAATTTTTGTTCTATTTGAGAGTCATCAATCACATAATTAACACCAGCATAAGAATGGAAAAATTGGCCACCTCCTTGCAGGTAAAGGTTTGAACCAAGTGTTTGGAGTGCCTTTCTGAGATCCAGATTTGTACCCTAATTCTACTTTCAAGCCTCTTTGCATTATAAATTTCTGAATACCAGGCTATCTCAGGAGACTTTCATGTAGTCTTTGTATTTAATTTTTCCTACAGTTTCAAAAAAAGTAAAACTTTAGAAGGAAGTAAGCCTCAGTTTAGGTCTTGGTTCAGGAAGGACAACTGTTGCAAATTTTCATACCTCACAATCTGGCAGAAAAGTTTTTATCATCTGAAATCTCCCTTCTCTGTCACAGAGATTGCACAGTCATTAATATCTGAAATTCCCATGAAAATTATTGTGAAAGCAAATTGATATGACAAACATTTTAAGTGGAATACTTGCCTAACCTAAACATCAGCAGCAACTCTGAAACTTTAAAAGCTCTCATGTACACTATGGTGCCCAGGAGGTTATCAGAAAGTATGGCTTTAGACTGCCATTTATTTGGATGATATTGCAATAAACCCTGGCAGAGGTGATAAAATTACACTTGCCTTGTGATTTTGTCAGTCAGACACACAACCCCTTCATGCAACTTTCCTAAATACAAAGCAGAAAGTGTATACCTACCACATGAGAACATGGGGTTCTGCAGTCAGTTCTGCATGTCTCATATTACGTTATTTACATTGAAACCTGGAAGCAAACTGCTCAGTTTTGTTCTGAATCCATTTACAGCCTTTTTTACTGTTCATAAAACTGGTGAGTACTGCCTTTCATTGAAAAGACTGTATAGATCGTAAATTTCCCAAGGAAAAATGCTTTCCTGTGAAGTTGTTGGAGATTCCAAAAAGCAAAAAATAAGATGAAACCAGCACAAATCCAACAGACTTGACAGCTTATTGGTTGTGTGAACCAATCACGATTCATGCAACCATATCAGAGATTTGCAGGTGTTCAGGTTTCAAGATGACATTTGAGACTGTAAAAGTAATATTTGCAGCAACAGCCTTGATAGATGTAATCCTGCCTAAAGCTCTGTGTGCCGCCCATACAACTGGTACTTTAGAAAAGGAGAAAACGTTCATTAACAATCACGTACAGTTAACAAAAGTTACTAAAAGCTCTTTGAGACTGTGAACTGTCAAAGCCTGCCAACTACTCCAGCCAAAATGGACTGCCAAGTGATTTGCACAATGTGTGTATAGAGATTTCAGAAGGCCAATCTAGAAAGTCAGACTTAAGTATCTGGGTTTGTTGGGTTTTGGGTTTTTTTCCTGGTAAAATCTGCACACCTCCGGAAGCAATTGTCCATAGAAATCCCCAATTTTTTTGTAGCCTTTCTGAAGGAGCCTGAGTGTGACTTCTGAAGTGACCCCTGAAGACTAGAGAACAAGACATTATACAGCAAATTGACTTTTCTTAGTGTTTTATATATATATATATATATATATATATATATATTTAAATACTTGACATACTACTTCTCTGCTTATGGAGAAGCAAGAGAAGTAGTCATTTCTACATTTGTCCCTGAGCTTTCTTCCCATTCTGCTACTTTCTACCTGGGTTTGCCTTCCCACTTCATCTTTTCCTTCCTTCAAACCTTTATATCATTGCATGTTGTTTTCTTTCTTATTTTACATTTAATCACTTTGTATATTTCTTATTATTATTGCTAAGTCACTAAAATGGGCTTCTTTCCAGTCTTGCAGCGTCAGACTGTTTGGAGAATTGCCTGTGATGAGAGATTTCCAGAAACACTGAGTCTGTGGGGCAATTATAAATGTTAACTGTCCTAAGGTAATCAGAAATCTCTCTACTATTTTAATTGCCATGTATGCCTTGTTCCTGCCAAGGATGGTCTTGTTAAGAAGATGCCAAATATCAAGGAGACAAGTCAGTTGTACAAGTAATGCATTGGTAGACTCCTAAGTAGAACATAATGGATCACAAAAATAGACAACCCTTAATGCTCTTCCTGAAGCAGAACTGGAAGGCAGTGATCCTTCATTGAATGTAAAATATTAGAGAAATGATCTTGCAATGATAAGTCAATAAATCTTAAGTTAAATCTCTTTCCAGATTTGAAGATACCAAACTGATGTTTATATATGTATAGGAAAAACTTATTTGAGGCAACAGATGTGATAAATTTTGCAGAAACTCCTGTGAGCCAATAAAAGAAAAAGGCAGTTGATCTGCCTAGAGAAGTAAACACCACTCACTATATGAAAAAAAAAAAAAAGATATGCACAGTGAAAACCTAGAAAGTTTGGGAGGGGGTTAAAGATGCTTTTATTAAGATTTTGAATTTAACTGGGTTTGCAAGTGTTGGTGCCGAAATCTGCTTGACATTTTGCTCAACTGGTGCAACAAAAGGGGGGAGCTGGCACTGTTAAAACACTGCAGGTGGTTGAATAGACCAGGAAAAATACATTTCATTGGGATCACTGAATTCAACTTTACCTGTGAGTTGTCACAAATACGGTTCAAGTACCTTCATCTGCAACACGGGCTTTTCGGTGTGTTTCAGAAAATTCTTTGCAGTTTATTGCTTCAGCTGAGTATGAGGAGACTTATCACCATTCTTTAAACTCTTTGCAGGATTTAAAAAATACCCCTTTTTACTATATTGCTTCATCTTTAAAGTTGTCAGCACCATTGGCAAGTACTAAAGGTGAACATGAAGGAGTTGTACTTTTCTGGATGTGATTAATTCTGGCACAGTCCTTGTTCCCATGGCTAAGCCCCGTGTGCAGTGCTGTTCTTGTCAGGTTCATTATGTGTGTTTTTTCTTTCCAAGGTATTATGTCTTCACTATGAAACATTCATCCAGACTCAGATTTGGCGAACAGAATCTGAATCCAGCAGCATGATGGTTTCCACGAAAAAAAAAAATTGTTCCCTTGAAGGAATGGAATGGATTTTGATTTTTGAAAGGCTTCATTGTATTGTATAAAAAAAAAAACCCTTGCTTTACATTTCTGTATGTAACCTTTCACAAGCAGTTGCTTAGAAGTGACCTTGATGATCACTCAATAAATTATAAGGTATTATGTGAAATTTAAAGTTCCATTTTAAAACGTTAAATTCTTGGCTGGTAATAATAGCTTCAAACTTCGATGCTCTTAATATGACTGTTGATAATATGTTTTCCTTTCCTGCTAAGAACATATATAGTAAGTGAAATTTTAAGCATGTTTTCTACTCTAGGAAATTAGCCCTGAAATTATAACAAAGCTAAGGAAACCGAGTAAAGGTACAGGTATTATATGTAATCTCTCCAGTTGTCTGTGAGAGACAGAAGGGAATACAGAAATGGTTTAAAGGTTTTCTAAACTAGATTGAGTTTATTCAGACAGAAATTCTTACACAGGATGAAACTGAAAGTTTCTAAAAATTTAAGAATCTCATATTAAACAGGTGGGATTTAATTGCCTTAATATTTATTTTATTTCTCAACTCTATTTACTAATAAAGAATAGAGCTCCTCATGAATATGACATAAATATGAAGATGTATTAGTGTTTAATATTATGCGGACAGTCTCCAGTCAGATCTTTTCATGGTACATGGAGTGAACAACGTAAATAACTTCTAAATACAATAGACTTTTATTGATGGGGAAAAATATATAATACTTTAAGAAGTGGGTGATCAGTGCTAATTCTTGAGGGAAGTGTTTATATTTACATTGCCATATAAGCAATTAATTTTACTCCTGGTTGTCTTTCAGCTTCAATAATACTTTAAGAGAAATGGATGTTTACCTGCAAAAGCAAAATCCATCATAGACAGGGCAGTTTTGTGGTAAAATGGGACTAATTCAGTAGTGAACTTGGAGGCTATAGCATGTGTTTTCCAGGAATGGCTACCCATGGGTTCCATAAACAAATCCACACCTCTCCTTTTTATCTCAGGCATAATTTATCTTGCTTTACATAATGCTGACATTCTGGGAAATCATGCCTTCATACGAAGGGCCTTTTAATGCTGGTAATGAATAGCTGGGTGTGGTTTTGTAGCAGTATAAGAAATAAAATCCTCTGCCTAAATGCATATTTAAAGGAGGACTTTAGGTTTTGTTGACTCCATTAAACTTTTGATTTAACACAGATGAAGGATGCCAAGTACATGAGTCTGAATTCTGCTTACTCCTGGATTAGTTCAGGGAGAGATGGCAGCAGTGATGCCCTCTCAGTTTCATTCTTGTCCTAAGTGTTAGGACTTGGGAACAGCTGTCTATTTTTGTCCACAGTATTTGCTGCCCTGAAGCTGGCAGCTTAGACGCTTGTTATAGTGTGAATGCTTACCGCTATCTGTTAGGTCTGATGTGAAACCAGTTTCACAGAAAATAGAAAGCTGAGTGTATTTTTATAATATAATAATTTTGAAACCAAAGTAATTCTTCTGTTTCTTGAATTAGATTCTCCTCCCCACATCTCCAGGACCAGGATGGGAAGAAGAGAAGGAAGTGAGCGAGCGGCTGTGTGGTCCTGAATTACCAGCTGGGCTTAAACCACAAAGACAGCTATTTCATCTGCTGACAAATAGGGAATTGCATAATGCAGTAGTTCTCATTTCAGTCAAATCTGCATAAGTTATAGTACAGACTTCAAGTCAACAGGATTTGTGTTTTAACAAGTTGGTTATTATTATTAGATGATTATATTAATCAGTGTGATGAGTTTCTAAGCTTTATTATTCCAGGTAAATGCAACCTTCTAAAAGTTAAGTGAGTATCTGTCAGTTATTCAAAGCTGCTGGATTCAGTTTTCAGCCAATGTATTTCTAATCAGTTATCGGTTAAAAATAAAAAAATAAATAAGAATTGTACATTTTAATCTTCTATACTGCCAATATTTAAGGAAGTCTCACTCGTCTTTTTTGCTCAGTAATATAACTTAGCTGATAACCTTTATAAAGCTCAGCTACCTACTTCATTGCTTTCTAATAGAGTTTCTGGAGAGTATAGATTTAGATTACAATGTTGAATGACCATGGGGACTCAAGGAAATATGTTCTCATTAATGGACTTGTTAATGATTGTCATTGAAGAGACTCTAATAGTATCAGATGTAACCATTGTCACAGCCCTTTATCACGCAGATATGGAGATGCATCATTAATTCACGCAGACTGATTCTCAGAGCAAATTGATGACATATGATAATGTCTGAAGGAAATTAAAAGCTGTGCATTAGCAATTTAATATTTCAGATTTCTATTTCCAATTAATACAGTCTAAAAGATAAGAAGAATTGGACCATGACAGTAGTATGGGTCATTCAAAAGAGATCAGATTCAGACCACGCCTCTGTCAATTCCATCTTTGCTATGTTCCTTTGTATTCTCTTTGAGAGCGATGTGACAAATATAAATCCCTATCAATCAGTGAAGTCTCTCAGCTGCAAAGGTAAAAATGTATATGCTATACAAGTACAAACCCCCTATGGCAGTAAGAAATATTTTACAGAATCTAGAATAATTTTTGAACAATTTCTTTATCAGGAGTTACTTATGTTTATTCCAGTATAGTCTCATATTGCTTTTTAAGTTATTGATAAATCTATGAAGTTAAATATTCTAATTACATTATATCTAATAAAAACATGCAAACATCTGAGACTGGTCCTGCACAGCTGTAAAATGTCATTTTGTTAAAGTTCTTCTATGAGGCAAGAGTGGAATCAGTACTCTGAAATCTGACATATTCTTCTGGCATTATTCTTGATGAAACACACTGCTTTTTCCTGAATTCCAAAACTGAAGAATAATGCTTGCTTATTTCCAGTTGTTTGGACATTGTCTTTTGTAGGGGGCTGCCAACCCTTGCAGATTTTTGACAATGTGGAGAGTCCATTATAGGGTCTGTAATAGTTACCCAGCTTGGTGTGAAAATTTGGAAAAGTGAAACAGTAGCATTTTCTGTGCCATGTTAACTCTACTTTTCACAAAGGTAGTTCTGTCCCTTTTTTTCTCTCATCCATCCTGACTTGATGTAGGTTTTATGATGAAGTCTGTGCAAACTCTCTATCTGTCTCTCACACTTCTCATCTGCTTTTTATTTCCTCTTAGGAAGCCTTGCTCTATCCCCATTACAAGTTTCTAATTTTAATAATCCCAGTCCATCTACAGCTGTTTCCTCAGAGAAGTATTTCACTGCACACACCAGTTCATGTGCTGATATTTCTTGTTAGTATGCAGTGTCAGGTTAACACCTCTAAATAACCTTGGTAAATTAAAAAATGGCTTATACATATTGTCACCCTAGCTCTTTTATCCAAATGCCTGACTTCCTTTCCGTCAGAGCTGGGCTAAAAAACACTGCAAAAGTAAATGGAATTAAAATTGTATATTTTCATTTTAAATAGAAATAAAATCAGTCTATTGTTAATGTTGCCTTAAATATCATGCTTTAGCAATAGTGAAATAATATGGAATGGCAGATATCTCAAAATGTTAGCTTCCATTAGACAGTTATTCTTTAAATAAAGAGAACACCTAATCAATGCTTTATTAGGAAAATAAAGTCTGGTCTGCCTAGTTGTTTGCAATACTGTTGAGTCTTGCTGATTCCTCTATGCCGTTTTTTAAATTTATAAAGTTTTATAACTTCCAAATGAGTGGAACTCCTTCTGAACTTACCTGCTTTTAGCATACCAACAGCTGCAGAATTTTCCAGGTCTGATCTCACTTCCCCTTGAGCTCATTTCTTTTGCAGTTCAGAAATCTTCAAACATCCCTTTGTGTTTGCACAATTGTTATACAGTACTTTTCTGAAACTGTCCTACTGAGTTAATAAACTGTTTTTACTGCCTTGGACCAGTCTTTGTGTCTGTTGTACATCACAGAATCATAGAGGAGTTAGGGTTGGAAAGGACCTTAATCATCTAGTTCCAACCCCCCTGCCATGGGCATGGACACCTCCCACAAAACCATCTCACCCAAGTCTCTGTCCAACCTGGCCTTGAACACCGCCAGGGATGGAGCATTCACAACTACCTTGGGCAACCCATTCCAGTGCCTCACCACCCTCACAGGAAAGAATTTCCTCCTTATATCCAATCTAAACTTCCCCGTTTAAGTTTTAACCCATTACCCCTTGTCCTATCACTACAGTCCCTCATGAAGAGTCCATCCCCAGCATCCTTACAGGCCCCCTTCAGATACTGGAAGGCTGCTAGGAGGTTTCCATGCAGCCTTCTCTTCTCCAGGCTGAACATCCCCAACTTTCTCAGCCTATCTTCATACGTGAGGTGCTCCAATCCCCTGATCGTCTTCATGGCCCTCCTCTGGACTTGTTCCAACAGTTCCATGTCCTTTTTATGTTGAGGACACCAGAACTGCACGCAATACTCCAAGTGAGGTCTCACAAGAGCAAAGTAGAGGGGCAGGATCACCTCCTTCAACCTGCTGGTCACACTCCTTTTGATGCAGCCCAAGATACGATTGGCTTTCTGGGCTGTGAGCACACACTGCTGGCTTGTGTTAAATTTCTCTCCGTCCAACATTCCCAAGTCCTTCTCCGCAGGGCTGCTCTGAATCTCTTCTCTGCCCAACCTGTAGCTGTGCCTTGGATTGCTCTGACCCAGGTGTAGGACCTTGCACTTGGCACGGTTAAACTTCATGAGGTTGGCATCAGCCCACTTTACAAGCATGTTGAGGTCCCTCTGGATGGCATTCCTTCCCTCCAGCGTATCAACTGAACTGCACAACTTAGTGTCATTAGGAAACTTGCTGAGTGTTCACTCAATCCCACTGTCCATGTCAGTGACAAAGATGTTGAACAAGACTGGTCCCAACACTGATCCCTGAGGGACACCACTCATTACTGGTCTCCAAATGGACATTGAGCCATTGATGACAAATCTTTTTGTGTGGCCATCCAGCCAGTTCTTTATCCACTTGAGTGGTCCACCTATCAAATTGATGTCTCTCCAATTTAGAGACGAGGATGTTGTGCGTGACAGTGTTGAGCACTTTGCACAAGTCCAGGTAGATGACACCAACTGCTCTACCCCTGTCCATCAGTTCTGTAGCCCCATCCTAGAAGGCCACCAAATTGGTCAGGCAGGATTTCCCCTTAGTGAAGCCATGCTGGCTGTCACCAAGCACCTTGTTGACTTTCATGTGCCTTAGCATGCCTTCCAGGAGAATCTGCTCCAAGATTTTGCCAGGCACAAAGGTGAGACTGACTGCTCTGTAATTCCCCGGGTCATCCATTTTCCCCTTCTTGAAAACAAGGGTTATATTTCTTTTTTTCCAGTTGTCGGAAATATGATGGACAGTGGCTTAGCAGCTTCATTTGCCAGCTCCTTTAGGACCTGTGGATGGATTTCTTCAGGTCCCATGGACTTGTGCACATTCAGGTTCTTAACATGGTCTCAAACCAGATCTCCTCCTGCAGTGGGCCTAGGGTCTTCATTCTCACAGTCCCTGTATCTGCTTTCCAAGACTTGGGTGGTGTGGTCAGAGCCTTTGGCAGTGAAGACCGAGGCAAAGAAGCCATTAAAAGCCTCAGCCTTCTCCAAATGCAGTGTAGCTAGTTCTCCCGATAGCTTCCAGAGGGGGCCCACGCTGTCCCTAGTCTGTCTTTTATTCACTGTGCACCTATAGCATCCCTTCCTGTTATCTTTAACATCCCTAGCCAAGTTTAATTCTAACTGGGCCTTAGCTTTCCTACCCTGGTCTCTAGCTTCCTGGACAACATTCCTGTATTCTTCCCAGGCCACCTGCCCCTTGCTTCCACCTTTTATAAGCCTCTTTTTTTCCTTTGAATTTTCCTCTGGAGCTCCTTATCCATCCAAGGAGGTCTGGCCCTCCTGCTGCACTTCTTTCTAGTTGGGATGCAACACTGCTGAACTTGTAGCAGGTGATCCTTGAATATCAGCCAAGAGCCTTGGGCCCCTCTGCCCTCTAGGGCTGTATCCCATGGAACCTCATTAAGCAGGTTCCTGAAGAGGCCAAAGTCTGCTCTCTTGAAGTCCAGGGCAGTGAGCTTGCTGCACGCTCTTCTCACTGTCCTGAGGATCTCAAGCTCGACCATCTCACGACTGCATTTCTGTTTTCCAAATTACAGTTTAAGTTATCCAAGGGAAATGACAGTGTTGTTTTAACGTTGTAACAAAAATCTAACAGAACATCTTGTGAAAGGACATGCTTAGATAAATACACAGGGTCAAGGTTTTCAAAAGTTATGGTGATTTGGTGAGCCTGTACTCTGATGTCATAAATAGATCTGATTGTCTGTAGGCAGATGGGCAGCGGCATTGTCTCTGAAGAGGCTTCTCATCAATCCCTGCTTGGGAATGGCTTTCTTTTGATGTTCTGGTTATTACAGAGGTACCCTGAAGCTCCAGGATGTTCTGTGATATGTTCCTAAAAATGTTCATGAGCTCATTACTTGATGGCTTTCTGTTGATGAAAACTATCCACATGGTCAGTCAACAGAAGGCAAAAAGAGGCCAATCTTGTATCACAATAATTTATTACCTCATTAATTTATATATACAGGAACTCCAAAAGCCTTGACTCATAAAATCAAAGTTCCCTGAGAGTTTATCACCTAGGTTTATTTTGTATTGTAACAGCTGTCCTGGAAACAGAGGACTTCAGCAATTCCTTGATTTACTTCTGTTTTCTATGATTTTCAATTTTATGGTGAAAATGCATTCTTTCTGAAGCTCCCGAATTATTGGGACTTCTGTTTTTTTTATCCCCGTTGCCAACCAAGAAATGCAATTTACTGAGCACTGCTTATTGTACTAAAGTTAATCTACATAGTTTTTTGCAGTAAGATAGTTAAATTTACTTCAGTCCTGAAATTAAAAAACCCAAGGTCAAGCAATTTCCTTTTATGCAAAA